TCGGCCAGTATTATATATAAATATATATATATATATATATATATATATATATATATATGTTTCAGAGAAATTTTGTCTAGTCATTCACATGCTACTTATAATGAAACATATCTATAGTACTGACCGATTGTGATGCACTACAATATTTTCTGTAGGATCAAATGGAGTTTCATTATATTTATCATCTATATTAATGCTTTAGATATGGACAATAATTTATCTCTTGTCCACTTCGGTCTACTTAGTTTCTAGTCTACATGACTGTCAATGAACGTGCCTGACTTTGGTTACCAGAATAAAATAATCTCAACCAGAAAATCGTAAACTTTATCACTTTATGAAAATGTAACATATTCTAATAGGAGTGACTCAAGAATTATCCCAAATTATTTCCATAATCAATTGCCACCTCGGTTATTTGTTATCACGCATCCTTTTATCTAATATATAATCCATTATACCAACTCTATTGAATAACCAAATGAAATTCTTTCGCAATCCGGAGAGATTGCATTAAATAAAGTTTCTTGATAATAATAATAATAATCTACGTTTGATATTTAACTCACTGAATTCGAGAAACACCATTTCCATCAAATTCAACCTTGAGATCAAGGTCATTTTTGTGCACAGCTTTGAATGTTCGTATTGTTGTCACTTTAATGAAACAAGTAGCGCTCGAAACCAAAAGTTCTTGTTATCTCAGTGAAGGAGACAGAATTAGAATTTCTAAGAGCATACAAGCTGGGATTTTCCAGTAACTAAACTACTAAATAGGATTTATGGCTTNAAACAGTCCCATGGAATTATCGTTCAGAAATGTTTACTGAAGGAAAGACCAATGGACGTGATATCAAATCCATCAAAATGTGTGATGTTGTCTTCATTGAAATAATGGACGGGACGGTCCAGTTATCAAAGGAACGTTGCCTAAACCCGACGGACCAGCCATCATCACCTTCATTATTTTTGTGGTGTCCCGGGACAACTTACTACAATAGTTTTCTTGCAGAATGTGCCGCTGTCCAAATAGTTCACTGTGAATTCTGTTATTGACTACTCTTAAGCATTTGATTCCATTCCCCGATCAAGGTTGTTACAGCTACTGGAATTGATTGAATACTTCAAACCATTGTTAGCTTAGCTATTTAACTATTTTACTGATAGAGTAGATTGGGAGAGGCTTCATTCAAACCCCTAGTGAACAATTCCGAACTTTTTCGAGATGGGCTATATTCCCTGTTTCTCCTACAAGTATTTTGAAATATCCAGTTGACGTCGTGCTGTGTCAACCCATTTCTTTTTACTCCGATCTACGTAGGCTCCCTCGTAAACAATCTTGTTCGATTTTATACGTACGCGACCAATGAGAGTATACAAAAGGAATTCCTCTTGCAGTGTTTCTCTTCTGACTTGCCTGTTCAAATTCATTACAGGATCGAAATGTTTCAATCTTGATCAAATTCAGTCATTTTCCCCAGCAAATATGATGAGTGTTTTTATTTTATTTTATTTGTTTTGCACGCTCTTTACACTCAACAGACCCCATAGTGATAAATAACAATCCTCTATCTAGGATGAACCCTGTCAAAGATCTTAGTGCAACTATAAATAGCAATCGTCGTTGGTCAACCCACATTCACAACTACATTGGTAAACTGCAATACTCATCATTTTAAATTCAAAAATTCGGGCACTTTCACACGTCTTAGTCAGTTATTTCTAAATTTGTGCATAAGTCTTTTTACCCAATCTTACTTTATTGTGCCCCAGTTATTTTTCCTGGCTTACTCAACTAGGATTTCAAAGTTCAATTAATTGTTCAAATTTTTGGTTGGCAGATTTGAATTTTACATGGCAATTAGAAAACGTTCAGTAGCCTTGTCGGGAATCGAAACCACGCATGGACTTCAAATCGGCCAAATAACAATTTGAACAATTAATCTTGCCTTGGAAGTCCTTTCGGTGGACTCCGGTGAATTCTAAGGAAAACCTGTCGGGGCAGTTAGCTTACATGCAAACGGGTGGATGCCATAGGCCTCGGTAAGTTGGATGGGTAAATTCGATTGTGAAAAGATCAGTGCTATCGGTATGGCCTCGTAGCTCAGTTGGTAGAGCATGCGCGTACAAAGTGTAGGCGGTGTCCATGCATGGGTTCGAATCCAACCCGAGACCACTAAACTTTCCACAATCGCCTAACAAAGTTTAACTATTATTAGCCGCAATTATTCGACTACTGTGAATTAGTTATCTGCGAAACTTTCAGAGTATCACGTGACTTCCTGTGTCAAATTCGCAAAGAGGATTCTCAAAGAGCCAAACCACCCATTGCATGCAGAACTAATATGTTGTCGTTCCCATCCCTCAACCCAGCCCAATTTCATCTCGTATAAACGTTTGTCGAAATTCGCTTATACACTATCCTGCATGCTTACTCATAAACAAAGAGAAAGTAACAAGTGTACTTCGTCTTCAGTTTGGACTCTCGAGGGCCCCTGTGGTCCCGGTGCACACGCTTTTCCCGTTAAAGATGTTCTCTTTTGACACTTGATGTGTATAGTTTCTTTTCACTTGCAGAAGTCAGACACAATACAGTACAATACGCAAAAGTCAGAAACTGCTGACTCCAGGCAATAAACTGCAAAGATCTCAAAAATGGTGCACTGCAGGATAGCATTTGACCATGAAAGTTCAACGAACTGATTCAAAAATGAGGATCGAATGTTTCTTCACTATAAACAACTCTGTCTTGATATACTAACAGATGGTAACAAGGTGTGGCCGAATTAAAATCTCCTCGAAATTGGAAATCCTCTGGGGATGAAAACGCGGGTCACTGGACTCAAAATGCAGAGTTGCACCATCGGTTTGTTAAATGTTTACCTCCGTTAGGTTGCATTGTCAGCTGCCGGAAATTATGCTCCTGTTTAAGGTTTTCCTGGCACTGCCTGATGGTGGTATATGAATAACATACACCAAGATGTTGCCGGAAATGATACAAATTTGAACATACCATAAATCGTACTCAGGTGAGTCAAGCAATGGAGAAAGCTGTCTCTAGACATCTGGACTACAGATAGAGTGAATCATGGCGTCAATGCTTGTATCAAGCTCATTCATCAAAACGAATAATTAATGAGGACGTTTTGAGCTCATATTCAAACAGTACAACTTTTGAATGCATCATTTGGCCTATCACATCATTGTACTTTAGTTGGAAGTTCCAGGATAAACGAATTGTAACAGTCGAATAAAATTCCAACCGATTGTGAAAACCTGTCCTCACCGACAACAAGCTCTCGTATGATTTTCACAGGCAAGATCATGAATCACTCGGAAACAACAGTTTGACTTCATTACAGTTATTCTCTTTTGATCCTAAATAACATCTATCTGACCGATTTAGTCATTTATTTATTTACTCATCGGTCAACCGACCGATTCATCATCATCATCATCATCATCATCATCAACATCATCATCATCATCATCATCATCACATCATCATCGTCATCATCATCATCATCATCATATTCATCATCATCGTCATCATCATCCGAAATCCTCATCATCACCACCGTTATCGGATTGAACACCATTATCATCATCATCATCATCATCATCATCATCATCATCATCATCATCATCAACATCATCATCATCATCATCATCATCATCATCATCACCATCATCAACATTTACCGAATATTTGATGCAGTGTTTGGTTTGGTTAAGATCCCCCAGGGAAACCAATCGATCAAGAGAGAGACAGAGAGGCAGAGTAAAAGAGACAAATGTTTATGACTCACTGTCAGACACGATTTGGACCAATCAGAGCGATCAACCAGGGCTCGCTTGTCCCATTCCGCGACTACGTGAGTTCTCCGGAGCTGAAGACCAAAATGGAATGCAATCTATATCGAGGGGACGGAAGTTGTTCCTGAGTAGTCAAAATCCAGAATTTCCTGTATCTTAGTGAAATCAGCTCGACATAGTGTTCAGTGCGTGGTCCTCTGAAAACCAATTGTAAAATCGAGCTAGATGCTAGCTAACATTTTGTTCAGTGAACTCTCATTTCACGCATGGCAAGTGAAATATGTGAACGAGAAAGCAACTCAAAATACAATGCTGATATTCATGAAAAAATTTTGATACTCAGTCTCTCTCATTGGGACGTTTATTTTATACCCGATAAAAAAACCAAGAAGATCATTTCTGATCTCATGATTTAAATAAGGTCAGGAATGTGAAAACCTACATCACGCTGGTGGGAAGGTTTGTGAACGTGCAAAGTATCTCAAACTGAGGTGCGGATTTAATTTGGGAATTCGCAGATAAATCATAAACGTAATATCCAGATGACAATTGATCCGCTCTCGTAATACACTGTGAGTTCAAGATCAGAATTGTGTGTATCTATGGCTACGACCTTGTGATAATTTTAGTAATTATAGTATGCACTTATGACAGAATACGAATCACAAAGTACAAATCCCTGATCAGAAATCACGGACGAGACGTAAGCACTAGATCACACTGGTACTAGTATGACAGTATCTCTCATGTAACCAAGACGCGAGGATATGTACAAAACAAGTTCATTGGTCATTCAAGCCTCTGCCAATCGCGTGCTGATATTTCTGGTGTTGCTCAGCTTGTGTCTGGGTCGCACGGCTTCTGATTGGTTGGTACAATCGACCTATGGTTTGTAGTTCAGAAGCTGTAACACGTACGCTATTTGTTGACATCACCCGGGAGGCTTGATTGATCACAGTTGTCCGAAAACTGTAACGTGTCACTCCGTGTTATGTGTCATCCCGTAGACTGAGGTCAACACAACGAGATTGTCATTTCTATATAGTATTGAGATAAGATGGTGGAAATCAGCCAGAGTCGATCTGTGATATCTCGATCCGTTTCGATTACCTCTAATCATTCTGTGTTTTCTCATCGACCAATTGACGTAGATCAAATTAAACTATTAAGCATTAGTCTGATAACTCAATTTATTCAATGAATAATTGTATCATTTACATTTAAAATAGGCAGACAGACAAAACATATTCAAGGCACACAATCATCTGGTGTTGAACGCGGTAAGAATAAGAAATCAAAAGGGAAGAGCACCTATCAGATCCCCACAGGCAGGAGCCGTTAAAATAGTGAGTTATCCTGTCAATTGATTAAGAGCAAGAAAAATGAGAAAAATAAATAAATAAAAGAAGCAAAAACAGAAAAAAAGAAAGAAATCCAAAAGAGAAATGAAACGTACAGGTGATTCGGCGGGAGATTCACTCTCTCTCTCCCTTAATCATTCGCAATCGAAGACCGGAGTCGGGTAAGAGCCCAAGGGTACTGCCTCCCTGTGGCACCTTGTCGGTCCAGTGCCGAGTAAGTTCCGGTTGCGGTTCTGTCAAGGTTAGAGCGGAGACCCACTTCATCCCACCCACCCACCCCCGTCTATCTACCTAAAGCACTATTTTTCTTTACTCTTTTAACCCGACTGCTGGAACAATGATTGCATGGTTTGGTTGTGCGTCCTGGCTATCTAGAACGGTTTTTGTAACGGTTGGCACCATTGGAAAGAACACTGCAAAGTGTGTGGTGGTAAGGACTTTTGCGAACCACGTTTATGATGATGTTGACCATTGGTTACGTACTAGCGCAGGAAAACACAGTTGAACAGTAGCACTCCTAACTGTCTGTTGTTTAAGAAACAATCGGGTTCCGAGTAACAGACAACTACTCCGAGCAGTATACCTACCACCGGAACTTGAGCTACTCAAAAACGTCGGTTCCCAAACCCGTGAAATCCCTGTGAAGTGGCGTTGAGATTTTCCCTCGAATTGACTTGCTCGATAAAAATGTAACTCAAACCGCTTCACACAACACAATCACATTGCACTCAGTGCTTTCTATTCATCAAGGACGCACACACTCGTGTGTTCAAAATTAAGACGATTAGATATTCAGAGATGCGACTGGTTAAAAACAGAAAATACTGTGCTTCTACTGGTAAGCAGAACTGAGGTGGAATTAGTGGTCGATCTGTCGTTCACAATAATAGCTCCCTAAATCCGGTCGTGTTTGTTGACGTGCCGAGTGAACAGTACTGATTCAGTCATTGACCAAATCACTGATTCAATCGGGGAGTTAATTACAGAAATAAGTGTAGCAAGGGAATGAATTGATAAATCAACCCGTTAACAAATGAATACAACAAGTACTATTCATACTATGCTGACCAGAAGAAATCCACTCACCAGCGACTTGATTGTCCAACGTTTCACTCGCTTCTCCGGCACGAACGGACTGTTTGCTGTGACTAATGCATAGTCCCGAGTCTCCTCTCTCCCGATTTCTGCCAAAGCAAAATCTATTGATTTCCGTTTGACAAGTGTCATACTGTTTTTGGAGGCAATCAGTCAGCTGTTGTCGTTTTTTCTCATCTTTAGACTACCACACGGACACAGCTACTGGCTGCGTCGGACCGGTTACGCTAACCACCCAGTATCGAATAACCTCGGTCTTGAGCGAGCGTTGATCACACTCTATGCGAAGTGTGTGTGTGCACGTGTGCCTGCTTATTGATCGAAAGTAACTCACGTTCGACTACTGAGTTGACCGCACATCTGTCAGTAAGGTCAGACCAAATACAAACAAATACGTCACGCCGTTTACACCGCAACAACAACCCTAGACAGTACTCATTCAAGCAACACAATTCGCCAAAAAGCGATCCGTACAGATGTCAATCAATGCTCAATAATCCATCTCACAACGTTCGATCCGTACTGAACTTCGCAGAACTATCGGCAAACTTTTACGTCAGCTGTTTTGCATCATACCAATATGTGCGCGCTTTTAAACATAAAACATAACTGTAGGCAAACACAGTTTCTATGATAAGAACACGTGTCGAGAACGTGGATCTCAAACTTCTAAAGGTCACACGAGTGCAATCTGGGATGTCGGAATTCACGTTGAATTACATTAAGGTCCTTTTACTCATGTCACCATACTCTCGCAATCCCGGTTATCAGTCGTGGAGTTCAAGAATAATGGTTCCATTTCCCAACCAAAGGGCTCACATTGGAGTGATAAGACACACGTACAATTGAAGCTTTTTAGCAAGAACGAACCAGCTATCCATGTCACTTTTGTCGGTTCCGGGATAACGCCATCCACGGAGCGACGCGTTACACTCTCTGGACAACGAACCACAGGCGAATTGTGCGGACCAATCAGAAGTCATGTGGTCCAGACAGAAACTGTATGATGTCAAGAATACAAGCACGCGATTGGTGAATACCTGGATAACCAATAAACTTCCTTCGTACATGTTATTTAATTCCTTTGATTTCTTTTAATAAAGGAAGTGCTACTTCTGTGGCTTTTTCCTTACCTCTCGGTTACATGAGATACTAGCAAGCAAATACTAGTGCGATTCAGTGTTTCCGCTGCCTCCGTGTTTCTTGATTGGTCATTCGTGATCTACTACTAAAACACAGAAATGTTTAAAATAAACATACTCGCATATTTGGAATCACAGATTAAGCCCTAAAATGATCCTGGATCAATATTAATTTTATACTGGGTGAACAAAGCAGAAAACGATTACTTGTATTTCATTTGAGTAGTAGGAAAGCTCCTGTAGTCACGGGTCCTTTTCTATACAGCCTATAACGTCTCGAATCCGGAGCTGAGGAGTTAATTGATCTCTAATGGCCGACCAACGGATTTTCACCGACGTTTGATCGAACTTGGTATAGTCTGTGCGAAAATGTCTCCAAATGTTCTTTATCAGAACGGCACTTGTTAAAAGCTTATTGAATTGTTTACATATACCTATAAGAGTTCTCACAATGTGTTGTCCTCTCGCTCTTTCGAAATCATTCGATTACTAAAGCCAAGCTACTCACGATCGATCATTCAAACTATCATCCTACAAATTTAAAAGGAACAAACAGTTCTTGGAAACGCATCTTCTTGCGCGTGAATGATTCAGTTGAAGTCAACTGGATCAGACTAGCTAATGGTGAGTCCGTTTTCAGGCTAAAATACCCAAGTGAACGAATAGTTGCGACGCATTTTTAGGCACTGTGTTATCGTACTTTACGAACCACATCAGTAATTGTCTCTGTGCCTACGACAATTTAATCATACTGATGACATCGCCGTTTCTTTCTCCAAATCTAACCAGTCATAACTAGCATTAGACAACTCAGACGTTTCCCGCCTCTTTGCGAATTCCACTTTATCCGGTCTGGATCTCAATCCCAGAAAAAGCGTTGCTCACTTCGGACCATTCTCTATCTCTTGCCGACAGTGTACAGACGAATAAAAAACCGGTAAACTGAGTCAGCCATGTGGAGTCCTCAGGTGTCATTTTATAAGGTTCACTTCACTGGTTTTATGGTACCCAAACTCTAGCACGCAAGCTAAAATATCTCTCCAATCAGATAGGGCGACTGCATCGTTTTCACTCTGATCAGTCTGTGAAGTGAGCTTTTGTCCAACAATGTGTTCTTCCTACAAGTGTTTACTATTCCCTTGCAGGTTTTCCCCGACTGACTTCAGGATGCCGGTGTGTGTCACCTAACAGCCAGCAGCGACGTTTCATTATCTGTCCTGTGACGGACAAACTGACGGATTGTCAAAATTTGTACACAAACATTTGCCAGGCAGCAGCCAACGA